CTTTGAAAAAAAAAACCCTCCACCCAATGGAGGGATAGTGGAGGGATGTTGTCGAGATGGATATTATGGCAAGGTGAATCTGCTCTTCACTGCGCTCTCGAAACTGGACTCACTTGCTGAGCCGGCCTGGCCCCGCCAGTTTCAGCTCATGTCAGTAATGCCCTCAAGGGTTGGCAAGCTAATCTCCTTCATTTTCCTGCAACCGCACATAGGCAGCTGAAGACCGCATGGACTGAAACAGATTTGTTGATCAAAGTCTGAGCCTTGCTTTTCCATGCGTTCTTGACGGGGAAGTGCAGCCTGTGCCAGGTGCGCATTCATAGGACAAATCCGCCAGCAGAGCAGCACGAGCGTGAGCTGGACCTGCACCCTTCGGTCTTCATCTTGTTTTACTGAGCTTGTCCTTAGCCACTTCCTGATGTTGGCTCTGATTAGCTTTGTGTACACAGAGCTGGTTGTGCTGGGAGGACTGGGATGGGCCGGTGATCCTCTCGCCGACAGCCTTCATCCTGGCCGGTACCTGAAGAAATGCCCTTCAAGGGCCACAGGGGAGTTTGGGCCATCAAAGAAAAGCAGCACTTTAAGTCGCTGCAAGCCAATTGTGAGGTGGACGCTGTGACGCCATGGCTACGGGCGGTCAAGGTCTCAGTCCAAAAAGCAAGCCAAAGTGCATCCAGTAGCCCAATGTATGTCAAGTGTTTGAAGCCCACGTCGGAGTGTCACATTGCTGAAGCTATATTATGCTGGCGAGGGTTTCTGCAGCAGTTCTGTCCCTACTGTGCTTTGAACGATTCTGCCTTCTCTTTGCCCAGACGGTGCCTTTGAGCTGGTCCAACATTGCGGCCTCTCGGAGACAATTTACATCATCCTGGTGGCATGCGCGGTTGCTGGCAAATTTTTGGAATAGTTTGCAAGCTTCAACGGTGCTAAGCATCCCTGCCGACTTGTGGCTACTTTCGTGGTGTCAGTAACGTTCTTTACACAACTTTTTCGTCAAAGCCTGCAGCCTGCCTGCCTTGACTCGCAGCTGCTTGTATGCTTTCTTTTCTGCACCCTCTCTTATCCTTATCTCTTCACCAGACCCCGTGCAGCTTCATATTTGTTCACGTCCCACAGCCGGTTCTTGAGGTTTGTTTCCTGGCGCACTATCTGGTGGTAGTCGACACCTCGGATATTTCCGAAGCTGCTGCTGCTTCCCCTGTTGCTTGCACGATGGTTTCTTGAACAGCCAACAGCATCTAACTTCCGCTGCCCTTTTGAGCCACAAAACTGGAAATGGCATATTGCTTGGCTTGCCTTCAGCCAGAGCCCGAGGAGCCGATTTACTACCTCTTTCACCGGTGGCTTCACACACCGTCCGTGTATAAGGCCGTTTGTTTTTGAGATTTTGAAGACATGCCGTAAGCCTGTTTTTATTGCCAGGCCTCGCACGTGCACCACCACAGCTCCGTTGTCACTGAGGCAAAAACGCGAGCCAAGCTTGGACTTTGCCCAAGCCGGTAGAACTTGTCTCACCCGGCTGGATTGCATGAGACCCTTGCTGCCCTTGCTGTGCCTGTGGCAGAGACCCCCCTGACGCAGGCGATCTCGGGCACTTCGCATCCGATGCTCGAGACGCTAGGTGCGCGGGGTCGGCTGGTAAGGTGTTTGTGCCATTTGTGCCCGCATGCAGATACTAGGTTGTACAATGTTGTAATTGTAGCGGGCAGGGATCAAGTTTGGGTCAGCTTCTCACTGACATGGATTGCCACACGCTTCGCATCAAGGTGGTGATTCAGGCTGTGCTTTGGACTGCTGCTCTAGCAAAGCTGCTGGTCTCGGAGGCTACCTCGCCAACTTCTCTTTCTCGCGCGGGCCCAGGAAGGAGATGTGCAAATGTTCTGAGGCTCCGAGTGGAGAAAGCTACAATTAGGAAAGTTGTCGAAATCATTTTCTCCGAGCCGTTGCGGTCTTGATATTTTCATACGAATTAACATTGGCAAGGACATTTTCACTTTGCATTAAGTGGAGGACTGATGCCACAAAAGGGAGCAGCAATTCTGATCAACCTCAGAGAATCTTCAGAAGCCATTTTCCCAGCTAGTGAGCCCTCGAACATCTGCGAATTCGTGAAAAGGCATGGCATTGTACAGGCAGTGCTTTCAGCCTTGACTCTTTGTTCAAGCTTGACACGTGGTCCACAAGCACCATCGGAGGCTTTGCATTAGTTGTTCATTTGTTGTCTAAGGCCCAATGTGTGTAGAGGTCAAGCGTTTGCCTCCTTCGGTTTTTTTTGTGCCTGGTGACTTTGTTCCTTACAAGACTGCTCGAAAGTGCGGCAGGCGTGGCACTCGGAAAGAAGGGTTCACAGAGTCTACATGTTTCGGACGCTCTGAAAGTGGATGCTCTGGCGAGCGTACTCTCGGGGATGAATCTTATTATGGTTTGGGCATGGACGCTCTGGTGATTGGATGCGCTCGTGCATGAACATTATTAGGGTGCAGGCGCAGATGCTGAAGTGAGGGTTTACTCTCAGGGAGGACGGTATGATGGTTTCGGCATGGATGCTTCAGTGATCGGATGCTCTCAGCGATGAACGCTCTTAGGGTGTTGGCAAGGAAGCCCTCTAGGATTTTGAAAACAATCGAAACATGCAGGCAAAATAAGGCAACCCCATCAACTACTGTACCCGCCTGCGAACCTTCAAACCATGAGCACGTTTCTTTTGCGACGGTCGTCCTTGCACGAAGGTAGTCTCAGCTTCAGGCTTCAGTAGTGCCATGAGGTTCTTGTTGTAAGCAACCAATGCTCCAACCACAGAAATGAGAGGCCGCGCCAAGGCTTTGCTTGGTCTTCGTTCACCAGTGAACCCGCAACAGACTCTCAGCGCACTGCGCTGCAAAGAACTTAACGCGTGGCATGCCTGAACTCCTTGGCAGCCATAAGGTTCCTTGTACCGGCCTGGTTCGGCTGCTTCTCCACAGCACTTGCCACTTGAAACGCATGCTGAAGGTATTCAAATGGGGTGCGTTGGGCAGAGTCAATCTCGGACATTTCCGAGGGTCCTGAGGCGAAGTGTTCTTGTATTATCTGTACTTCAGGGCAGATACTAGAAGGGGCCGGTGCCCTTTTCGAGATGCATATTTGAGTGTTTGTTGAAGCAGTGCACAGTCGCACAAGCAGCGTGCAGGAGCATTGAGGCAGCGCTGGGTCCACCTTGGTACGCCCACTAAGATTCCCATTTATTTTGTCTTCTTCGACATCATGAACTGCATTGGCCACTGCAATTTCGAGTGCATACCAACCTGGGCACAGGCGCGGCCTGCTTTGCGTAGCTTTCCATTCTTTCTCCTTCTCTCTCTCTCTCTCTCTGTTGCTCTCCCTCCTCTCCCTCCCTCTCCCTCCCTACCCCCTGAACCTTGAAGCTTGGAAGACTGATGCTATGGACCCGAGCAACGTTTCCCTTGCTGGAAGATCAGAGCAGTGGTAGTTTGAATGTTGAGCAAAGATCCGAGAGTGAGGAAGAGGATATTCCTGGGTGCACAGTTACTTGGATGGTCGAAATGCAGCGCAGGCCGGTCCCCTCAAGTACTTCCTCTACACCTCTTCATACCATTCCTTGCATCACAGCCAGGAGCTTACTGGTTTTCGTGTCCAAGCGTTTGGGGATTGTTTTGTTATATATGGTATTGCAGGTGATCATATCAATGATCCGATTGAAAGCATGCATACATGTGAGCCAAGAGAAGCTTGGTGCCACTGACCAAGGTAAGTACAAGTACAACTACTGCCTCTTTTGCCCGATTTGGGATTACTTGGGCGGTGTTCGCCTCGGCTTCTGGAATCCGACCTTAGACGAAGATTCAGGTGTCGAGAATGCAGCACATGCAGCTTGCACAGACCAGATGGCTGCTGTGACGAATCTGTTCTAGTCTGAGGCACGGTGCATTCGACCACGGACTCATTGCACAAGGAGGTGAGATTTCGCAGGGTGGGGCGGTTTGCATTGGCTGTGTCAAGTGAAGTTGTGCAGGTCTTGGGCCAGAAGGATCGCCAGCTCGATGTTGTGTTTCTGGCGCATGGCCATGCCCTTCACTCCATGCCGGGCACCCGGCCTTTTGCACCAAGACCAAGACTGAGTGCCGTGCTATGCTGCCTTCCAGAGTCCACAGCCAGCCAGGGTTATGCAGCCAACCTTGCATTTTCAAGCGCGGTGCCCACAAAGAAGCCCTTGAAGCGCACTTCGGGACCTTTTCCTGCCTATCCGGCAAAGGTTGCACCTTCCATGGTGATGGCCTCAATTGGGAAGGGAGGGCTAGAGCAAATGCTTTAGGCACATGCCTGAGATAGTTCGGGGATGAACCTGTCAGATGCGAACTATGTTTGTTGCTCGCATGTTTGCTGGCCTGGCTGGGCTGAGGTTGTCTCCTTTCCTGTGTTCGCATCAGCACGAGCAGCGTTGGTGGATGCTTCCACTGCAGCCCCTGACCTTTCTCTGGGCAGGAGCCTCAGAAGCAGGCTGCTCATCGAATTTGCATTTACTGTGATGCCCAGTCCTTCCACTATGCCCACAAAAGCGAGACCAAGATCTGTAAGCATCATCGATGATCGTTTTGCAGGTGCTCTTCTGCCGCCACTGCCTGTCGACGGCTTGCGTGCAGCGCCTCGCGCTTGGCCTTGCTGCGTCAACAGCTGCTGCAAAGTGGCACGGCATCCTGCACTTTATTCTGGTTGTTTGGCCCCGATCAGCCTGTTTTCCTTTCAACTTCTTTGATACCGTTTCTTCTGCCTTCCCTCCGTTTGCATCATCACTCCCCTGCTTTTTTATCCCTGCCTTCCCTGCTCTCGCTCCGATTTACCTGCGGATGGTGAGCAGCTGAAGGATCTCCTCTGATAGTGTTGGATGCCTTTGCCTGCCGTGGCCTTTCAAGGTTATCACTATCGTAGCACTCAGTGTGCCACGTGGTCTCTTGGCCGCATAGGAGACGGTTCAATTCCATGAGTTGCTTTGGGCTGTGCCTGCAGGTGCCTGCCCGTAACCGGCCACTTCTACTTCATGAAGTCGCACAGGCCCTTGGAAGAGTGTACGGAAGCGAATGGTTTTATCTCCACGTGAGAGCATTCTTCCAAGCCAGGAAGCCGATCTTTGACATGGTTGTGAAGGCCAGGCTTGCATAGTACTTGCAGAAGGGGCAATGAATTCACTGAGCATCCTGAAGATGTCGCAACATGATGTCATGGCGTTGTAGGTTCTGATCAGCATGCTCTGAACCTGCGAAGGCGGTCAAAGATGCAGATGATGCAGGTGTTAAATACTTTGGCTTGGGGGCCCTGAACAAGGTCATTCCGTGCATGTTTTTTTTGCTCTTGGATCTGCGTTTGTTGCCGTAGTGCGTCCCAGCGAATTCAGGGTGCTTTTTGTTGTTGAAAAGCGTTGGAGCACAAGCCATTCTGCGGCATCCTTTGCCAAAGGCCTTGTCTGAACAGGTCAGATCGCAAACCAAGCAAAATGTGGGACATATGGCAACTTGCACGCTCATGGACTGCCAGGCTGAGTTCATCAACCAAGGAGGTGCTGGGCTTGGAGTGCTACCCGTCATTTTGTTGGATCAGTGTGCCTTGCGCTCTTAAAGTATGTATAGCAGGCTGCTTCTCAAACGGCTGATAAAGACCACCTCTGTTCTGAAAGGTAAAGACTTGCTGCCCTTGCTTGGCGACCGCAAGATTCGCATTGTGCACGGCAATACCCTCACTGCCGCTGCTGTTTGGCAGGCGTCCGCGGTGTTTGGCCATGTTGCGCTTCTTGAATCTCACAAGTTTCGAGTCCACCTGCTCAACATTAAACGCACCAGGCACTCCAGGAGCACACGCAGCCGAAGGACAGCTTGATTCGTGCAACTTTGAAATTAGGCTATCTGGATCCCTTTATTATAGAACTCCTGGGTCTACTTCAATCTTTGCCTGCAGCTGAACCGTATCCCTTTTGGTATGTTGAAAGCTGCAACGCTGGGACCCAAATACCCAAACTGCATAGCCGGGACCCTGAAATCCATTAATTCAGAGGGGACCTTTTTCTTGAAGCCGGAAGCCAAAAAAGTGCAGCCCTGGCTAATCCAAGCAGTTTACTTGATTACGTTGAGATATGTTGAGTGTGGAGGACGAGATTGTCTTTGCCGGCTCCACGTCGAAGATCGGTCGTGCCCTCTGCATCCTCATGGCTCGGCGCGGCCACATGGCAGCAGCCTCGGAGAGGGCCAGAACAGCAGAAGAACAGCCAAAACCGTAGGCCTCAGCTTCCAGGTGCGGATGATCACCGGCTGCGAGGAACGATTCCAGAAGATCAAAGGAGAGGCCAGCATTTGCAGACGGGGCAGGGATGCTGAGACGTCACGCTATGATGGTTGCGATGTAATTAGGTATGCGTGAAGTATCACTCCGTCTTGGTACAGGCTGGAGAGTTTGGCAAGAACCTCGTGAGGGCCCGCGGCCATGCTGTTTCATGTCTCTTCATGGTGTATATGGTGTAGCAAGTGGTGCTGAGCCTGAACATGTCGTTATTTCCGGGCTGAGTAACTTAAAGACAATCTGGCTCAGCTGGCCAGGTGCAGACGTATGAAGAGGGTGTTGGCTGTGGCGTATGGATCCTGGGCAAGTGGATGGAGCCAGAGCGTATCCAGGCACTGGAATTGAAAGATCCATTCCAAGGGCCATCCACTTGGGGCCATCCTCCAAGCCCAGTACAGGCGCTGATCCGGCCTGACTCACTGATCATCGACTTTGCAGTGCCTCACGTGAGCGAGGACAGGCTTAAGGTGGATTCGCCGTTAGACGTGCTCTTGTCTATCCTTCGATAACTTGCGATTCGCCGGGCATGCAGGAAGTTGCAAAGAATTTCCGCTACGTAAACGGCGCGGCTTTGAGCTACAGCCTGCACCTTGTGGATGATGGCTGTGAGCAGGGGTAGGCATCAACAGCGGTGGTTTTTGGGACTTTCTGGTGTCGTTTTATGTTTGTATTTCCAGCCTGCATTTGGATGCATTGCTTCCGCATTCGAGCATACTCAAACTACCGGTGCGTGCAGCTGGTGGTATGCCGACATCGGAATTAATTATGTGGTTCTCTGTTCTCGCTACTGGTGCGTTCGCTACAGTCCTCCTATGCATCTATCAGTTAATGGCTGCGGAACATGTTCTTCGTCTGCCTTCCAAGGTCCGAAAGAGACAGACCTGACCTTCTGTCATGATGTCCCAAACACGGTGCCAGCATGCTTGGCGGCGAGCGCCTCAGTGGTGGATGGATCTTCTCATCGCAGCTGCGCACTGCAATGGATGACCTTGCTTTTTGTACCGTGACCTGCCCTGTGCTGTGGCTGAATTTTCTTCCAGGCGACGGTCATCCATGCCAAGGAGGACACGCAGAGACACGAAGTTGGCGAGGCACAGCTGAATGCTCTTGTCACTTGTAGCGCCTCGTGGGATCCCAAATGTGCCACAGCAAGATCTGCAAGGTCGAGGTTGACGAAGTGGAAGGATGGTGGGAAAAGGCTGTGGCTCTGGGCTCTCTGCCTTTTGACTTGCGCATATCTATTTTCCAGGCTTCTCGCCACGGCTTCCGCCTCGCATACCGAGACTCAAAGGGACGCCGGGCAGGGTGCTGAGTTCTTGTGCAAGGCTTTGCTGTGATTTGCTCTTATGCACGAAATCTGTGCTGACACCCAAAACTAGGCTGTTTAGATGTTTGTGGATCGCATTGAGATGTAGTATGCAGTATACACCATCTAAACCGGAATTGAAGGTTTTTTCCACGAAAGCTAGCGAGCTAGGCTTGAAGCTGTCTTGCCTTAGCAGTAGTAGCATTCAAGGCTCGGAAAGCTGCAAACAGATTGGGGTGGGGTTGGGTCGAACGTGCTTCTTCCACAGAAAAGTGATGGATCTGGATGGGGGCGGGGGGGCAAAGGTGATTCTTTCACAAAAACGTCGTAGCTTTGGTTGACCCGTTCCCCCTTCTAAACGTCCCGATCGTGCTGATGATGCTCCAGGTTATGATAAACCTCTGTAAAAGTGCTGCTCTTGCTACGTTAGCTTGTTTTGCCGGGTTTGAAGGTCTTCTTGTCCGTGTCTTAACCCAAAATGGGGTCCTTATTGTGCTGGATGGCGCCGGCGCACGAGCATCATCTGCACCATTGGGACAGCATTCTGCGTATAAAGCCTAGGACAAACCATCCCAAGCGCTTTGAACATGGAATTCTGCACAACCTTACCATGTTTTGGCCCAAATGCCCATTCTGTGCAATTTTGACCAAACATTTGGACATACATGGTCTGCAAAAGTGGTGTGCAATGCTGGCATAGGAGCCTCCAAATTGCTTTGTAAAAACCACGCAAAAAGGTGCTGTTTGCGCATGTCCCATCGCATGTTCGTCGCAGCATTGGTGCTGCCAATTGTTTTGTGTTCTTGGCTGGTATTTACGGCTGCAAAATACTGCCCGCCGCAGGTATTTTGAATGTGTTGTGGGCTATTTAGAGCAAAATTTGGGATACCGCGAGCAGAGGGTCCGGCACCCCTTCCGAAACCGTAGGTATGTTGAGATGTCAAAAAAGAAGGTTCTTGCAGGGGCCGCTCCGGACTCACGCCCAAACCAAGTTGGAATGTCATGCGTTCCAGAGGCTCCCCCTCACGGCACGGAATGGTTTTTGACGGCTTTCATGGATTGCCCAAAACCCTCAATAAAGCATCATGAACGCGAACGTTCTGGAAAACTAGCCCTAAGGCCCGTCTTGGGCCACGGCTGAAAAAAATATGGACTGAAGGAGAGGCCCTGCAGGAGGCCAAGCGTGGAGAAACGGGTGGCCAGCATCATGAGCATAATTGGGGGTCAGTTTCCTCTTCCAGGCTTGTAGGATGCCCGCACCTGCTTGATGAGCTCTTGTGGGTTTGATACGGAGGCTGTCATGCCTGTTTGGGAGTTTTATGATGGGTTTGCATGGCTTTCTATGGTAGTGTTCTAAAAATGCTTGATAGGTCTGGTGATGGATTCCTGGGTTTATGATGGTTTGGTGCATGCTTTGTACAGGTTTTATGCGGGGCTGATGCAGGTTTTATGGGTTTGGGTGCTGGTTTTCAGGTTAGTGTGTGATTGTTTCGGGATGATTCCAAGATGGTCGTGCTTTTGAGAGCCATACGACGGCTTCTGTAGGACGGTGCCGATGAATTTGCAGGGTTTCGCCCACTTGGACGGCGGTTTTTGCAGCGCTCAAGGCTTTTGTGAGCCGCTGGAGCAGCGCAACAATGGGTGCCAGTGGCGCTCCGTACGCGCGCATCATCAGCCCAAATGGAAGCCCCGGCCAAGAAAAGTTTGGAATCAAGGATAGGCCAAGGGACACAGGAGGGTTAACAAATGGAGAAATGCCCCCCAAATGATGCACATGATGCTGGCATCACCAGCATCATCCGCATCGCTGGAGGTCCCTCTCCCCTTTCCGTGCCCTCCTATACGACTGTCATTGGACCATGATGGCCAGGCTGGACTTGAAGAGCCTCCGGCTCAAAGCCGACCGACCCCAGAGGTAGTCAGGCTCTCCCCAGTAAGATGCGATGGAGATGAGACAGAGGGTCGTTGCAGAAACCAAAAAGGGCAGTTGTGCGGTCGTGTCACGAGAAATACTCCCGCCTCCATCTGCAGTGTTCACTACCCTTGTGTGGTCCCGGTACGAGCAAAATCTTGCTCTGTGGTTGCATCAACCCTTCCTGACCCCCTGTCGTGTCAACTACCCTTGAGAGGTTATGGCGTGGGGAACATTCTGCCTGGTGGTTGCATGAAATCTCCCTACTTTTTCTGTTGTGTTCACTTCCTTCACAAGGTCGTGATAGAAAACATCAAGCCTTTTTTAAGTCTCGCTCCGCAGTGTTCACTACCATTGCATGGTCATGGTGCGGGTAGCAACATGCTGGGTTGTTGCATAAAACCTCCCTGCGGCAGTGTTCACTACTGTTGTGTGGCCATGGTACGAGCACCGCCATACTCGGTAGGTGTAGTTGCGTCGACCTTCCCTACTTCCGTCTGTAGCGTTCGCTGCCCTCGCGGTAGCATCCTGCCTGTGGTCGCATCAAACCTCCCTAGCCCCTCAGTAGTGTTCCATACCCTTGCAGAATCATGAATCTCATCGCATCTTCTTGGTGGTTGCATCAAACCTCTCGACTCCGTTCGTAGCGCTCGCTCGCGCTACAAAGCCCTTGTGCGGGTAATCACAAGACTGACTATGGGAGGGGATGTGTTCACGAATTCATATGAGCTGTAAATCTAAACTCCTTAACGGGGCTTATATAGGGGAGTATCGTAGGGCTGATTAAGGTGGATACTAGATTATAGCCCATATGTTTGCTCGTGGGTTACTCGACCTACTTGCGCTAACTCCGCTCATTCCATTTTCCTAGCCACGGGACGAGCAACATCATGCTTGGCGTCTTCAACTGCTTACGCCTTCTGTAGTGTTCAGTGCCAGCATGTTCATCTGACGCGCATCCTGATGCTGGTGCACCAAACCCCCTCATTCCATCTGTAGTGTTCCGTACCCTTGAACGGTCATGACGAGAAGATGATTATGCTCGGTTGTTGCATCAAATATCCCGTCCCTATTCTTTTGCAGTGTCATGCCCCGGCAACGTCGTATTTCGAATAACACGATGCTGTTGGTTTCATCAAACCTTCCTGCTCCCCTTCAGTGTTCACAACCCTTGCAGAGTCATGATACTAGTAAATCATGCTTTTTGTGGTGTCAACCTCCCTGCCCATCTGCAGTGAAAACCACCCTGCGTGTATCATCACGCTGGATGATTGTATTGAATCTTTCCTTCCTGTGTCGAGTTCAATACCTCTCCGGTCTTGATACAAGCAACCTTATGCTTCGTTAAGACCTGACTACTGCTGCAGTTTTCACTGCTCTACCCTAGCATGGTCATATTACGAATGACGTTAGGCCTGCTGGTTGCATCGAAGCTCCCTACTTCCTGTTTATGAGTACAAGCACATCATGGCTGGTCGTTGCATGTGGCCTCTCTCCTGAGGGTTTTGGTGTTTGCTGATCATTGTGCAGCTAACATCATGCTTGCTGGTTGTATTGAACTTCCCTTCTCCTTTGGTAGCGTTCCCTGGCCTTGCGTGGTCATGCTAGGGGAAGCATCTATCGCGCGCAAAGCGTCGGCCAAGCGTCAGCAAAGCGTTCGCAAGCGCTTTGCAAGCGTTCTTGGGGTCACCAGCCTGGAACATCCTTGCAAAGGTCGCTTTTGGACCATCGTCGCTGCATCGTGCGTGTACCATGTGCATCTTTGCAACTGTCGTCGCTTTCGGAGCGTTGCTTCTTCGTCACATGTGAAAACTGCCAACGGTCACAGGGATGTCACCCCTCCGGGTTGCCATCTTGGTAATAAAGTGTCGTCGCTCTGCGAGGGTCACGGAATTGCTGCGCGTGAAAGTGCCATCAGTCATAGGAACGTGGCCGCTTGGGGGCACCAGCCTTGTAACTGTCGCCCGCTTTTGGAGCGTCGTGTCTTCATTTCGTGTGAGAAATGCCAACAGTCGCAGGCGCGGGCGCCCTTGGGGTCGCCATTCTCGTAAGTTATGTCTGCGTCGCGTTTCGCAATTGTCCTGGCTTTGAAAACCTTCGCAGGGACAAGGCCACTCCTGGTCGCCCTAGGCTTGGAAAGAAAAGTCTGGGTTCACAGAGTCTACATTGTTCAGACTTTCGGAAAAATGGATGCTCTGGCTAGCGTACTCTCGGGGATGAACGTTACTATGGTTTGGGCATGGATGCTCTGGTGATTGCATGCGCTCGTGCATGAAGAGTATTAGGGTGCAGGCGCAGATGCTGTAGTGAGGGTTTGCTCTTAGGGAGGACGTTATGATGGTTTCGGCATGGATGCTTCAGTGATGGGATGAGCTCGGGGATGAACGCTGAAAGCAATCAGTTGAACGGAGGGATGTGGAGTGGAAAGTGAAGTGGAGAGTGAGGTGTGGAGTAGAATGGAGAGTGGAGAGTGAAGTGGAGAGTGGAGGGGAATTTGGAGTGGAAAGGGGAGTAGAGAGTGGAGTAGGAAGTGGACTGGAAGCTGGATTGAAAGGTGGGGTGGAGAGTGGCCTGGAAAGGGGAGTTGAGAAATGGGTTTGGAGAAGTGTACCGCAGAGTTGGGTGTGAAACTGTAGGGTGGAGTGAAGAGTGGAGTGAAGTGGAGAGTGCGTCATGGAGATGGGATTGGAGTCGACGGCAAGGTGGATTGGAAAGCGGACTGGAAAGTCAATGGAAATTCGAAAGGACAGTTCCAGTGAAAGATTGGAGTGGACACTGGAGTGGAAAGTGGACAGGAAAACCAGTAGAGTGGAAAGTGGCTGTAATGCGTTGGAAAGTTGAGTGGGATGGAGTTCGCGAGGTTTTGTTAGGAGTTTTCGAGGCCCTTGAACAAGGTCTGTGATGCTTGCTAGTCTGCATGGCGCAAACTGAATACGTGACACTAAGGCGAAGACGGACTAGACTTTGGACAGCAAAGTGAGGGCTGTCGTCCGAAGAGCGTTTTACACTGCATGGCACAGCACAGCTGGAAACCTGCTGTGCGCAGAGCAGCTGCCTGCCCCTGCAGGACTCCCTGTTGCATGTAGCCATCAGC